TGTCTCTTTTATGCATACCGTTGTCCTTTTAAGGAAGGTGGCATGGCCATCTTCCCTGTGTTCTAATAGCGCGTACATTCGTCCCGGAAGGTTCATTAATTAAACCAATTAATGTTAATATGTAAATAGTTGGAAAACGATACGACTTGAAGGCATGAATGTATTTGTAATCGAATAAACGCCCACATGTTGACCGAAGCGAGTCAATCGACTTGAATGAACCTCTCATTATTATTAGATAGGTTCGTAGTATGTTGGTACATCTGGTTCTTTGATTGCTGGTTCACATTTTCGGTATTATTATCGATCAAACATGACGATTTGTGCAATGCAGTAGAAAATTCATTATCAATATTGAAATGAATAGTTGCTTCAGTAACCTACTTTCGTAAATACGATAAAAAATCAAAAAGAAAAACTGTCTTAATATGATGTCACTCTAATCCTTAAATGGCATAAGAAAATTGTTTCGTGAACAAATAACTCAATATCTAGGTATTCACAATTTTTGTGGTTATTTGGATGTATCACTTTCTACTTTTATCATTATGGGAAACATTAACGGATACTGCCTTCAACAAAAGGTAAAGAATTACAAGAATCCCAGAAGAACTAAACATAAAGTTAAATACAATATATGACCTCGAATATCCGTTACCAAAAAGCTTTAAGTTCTAAACCCAAAGTCCTGTCTTAAAGGGCTTTAACCCTTGGAACTTCAGCAGTTACATTTTAAAATCCAGCAACTAAATTCCAGTACTTCAGCATTATGAAAGTGTTTCAAACATTTTGAAACAGCTCGAATTACACACTTTTGTAATGTTCCTAGTTTGATTGGCAAGCCCCAGCTACTTGTTCATGAAAGCACATGAATATGCTCCTTCTAGTCCCTGGAAGAGCTGGAAGCACATTTTCAAGCACGAAACGTTAATAAAGTTGTTACTTTTACCGAGGGCATTGCCCCTTTTTCCTTTTTTGTATGCATAACCTAAACATCATATATATTCGTGACTTAGGCTAGATACTAGATTAGACGCTTTATTATATATTGTGTCTTTAAAGAGGAAACATGTGTTACACAAGTTATGAAACTAATTGTAAGATTGAGAACTTCTAGTTTTATTATTATTTAAAATAGGTATACCTATTTACGTTAGCATCCCTTATATTTTGATTATCTTTTTTTGTTTCAGGTAAGTCAAATTCCATTAGAAAGAATAGATTCACCAACAAAGGTGACAGGTAGGCAAGAAGTAGCTTTTAATTTATTATAATAGTCAAACTGATGAATATATTTTAATTGAAATTTAAATACATTTAAGGGTATTCAATATATTCAAATGATGCTCAGAATAAGCTTCAATTCGGGAAAATGCATTAACTATAACTTTAAAAACCTATTACGATAACACAACCCCTAAAAAAAATAAATGACTGTAACATGCAAGCTGAAGCTCTTCAATGTCGCTGGGTATATGTTAGTTGTCCTTGTTATAAAAAAACCGCTGTGATTTACTACTAATTCAGTCATATATGTTACCAAATGTTCTTGTTTTTACTATAGTTACTAATTGGGTAATTTGTTAAAGTGTATCTAATAGAACATGGAAGTATACAAATAGTTATCGTTTTGAGCGTTGACCTTTCTTGGAGGATTAATAAATGGAACATCTTGAATGAGATATTGGATTCACCCCTGTAACCTTACAAGTGTTGATTTTTCGTGTGGGAAGTCCATATGGTTCCCACTGTTTCGATTCAGTTGTACCCTCGCCCTCAAGACAAGTGTAACATCCTTCTTAATTTTTTGGAATCTTTTATCAAATAAGAGATTGGTAAACTTTGACTTTCAACTCTTAAACTTTTTATATACGCTGATTAGCAGTAAATGTCGGAGATGTCTGGAAACTTTGCATAAACGTTCCTTACACAACGTAAATGAGAACTAAGAAAGGATTTTTTAAAATTCAACACCTGGAGGGGTGAAAAATTTGATTTGTCGATCAAAGTACAACCCATACTCGTTAGGTTCTTTAGGTACTTTAGGTTCGTTATCATCATCATCATCATCATCATCATCATAAGGTCGTCAGTCCTAAGACTCATTGGACATGCTCCTCCATTCTTTCCTATCCTCTGAGCTAATCTTCGCATTTACCTAGAAGTTCCACATCCTTAACTATTTGTGAACAGTAATCTTATCTAGGTCAACCTCTACTCCACTTAATTCCTATTTATGCTTCTAATATGTCTTTAACTAGCCCTTCATGCCTGAGAAGGTGTCCTACCAACCTGTCTCAGCTGTTATATATATATCTTGCGCCCTCTGTTCGTTGATATTCTTATTACATTTATAGTTAACAATAAGATAAACAAGCAAAATTCGCTAAGCAAACTTGTTGTATTTAGTGACTAATGTGTCGCGAATATGAACCTTGAAAATGTTATGTCTAAAGAAACCAAGATTAGATCGAATAAAATTTTTCTTGTTAGCTCCTGCAAAATCAATCATTACAAATTAAAACTTTGCTCGACACAGGTTGTGTTTAATTAAATTAAAATCTCCCTAATACCTTCAACGGGTTATGGGCCCAGTTGATCGTAGTATTTGTACGTGATTTGCTCTAGTTCGCTGTTTATTAAAATTGTGCAATAATACGCAAAAATGGACAATACTTTAAAATATTCTAATAAACGAAACATTACACCTTTTAATGGCGAAAAGTATGCAGTGTGGAAGTTTCGCATTAAATCATTACTCGCTGAATTAAACGTTTTACAAGTAATCGAAAGTGAACAACCTACCGATAACGAAACAGCTGAAAATGAAGTTTGGGCAAGAAATGAAACTACTGCCAAAAGCGTGATAGTGGAATACCTTGGTGATTCATTTTTGGGATTTGCCAAAGGAGATATAACGGCCAAAGACATTTTGAACAATTTGGATGCGATCTATGAAAGGAGAAGCCTAGCAACACAACTTGCTTTAAGGAAACAACTATTAAGTTTAAAACTGCAAGGGGACACAAGTTTGCTACAACATTTCGCAAAATTCGACGATATTATAACCGAACTAATTTCTGCGGGTGCGAAATTAGAAGAAACCGATAAAGTATCTCACCTTTTGCTGACAATGCCTTCGACTTACGACGGTGTAATTACTGCATTGGAAACACTGTCTGAGGACAACTTAACACTTGCTTTTACCAAAACACGTTTACTGGATCATGAAGTGAAGATAAAAAACGAATCGGGTAATACAAGTGCAAAAGTTCTATTTACTAAAAGTACGTCCCGGAATGCAACAAATAAACCAAATAAAAACAATTGGTCAACGAAATGGAACAAAGGACGTCATCAACATGGAAGAAGCAACAGTTATCAACAGGACACACGCAATTTCCACAATACCAAATTTAAAGGTAACAAATTGAACAAACCATCAAATAATAAATATTTTAATAAAAAATGTGATCATTGTGGTCGAAAAAACCACACTCTTAATGAGTGCTATTATTATAATAAAATGCTAAACAATTCTGATAATCGAACACATACTCTACAGACAATTCAAACTATAAATGATTGTGAAGGTGAAAATGCGGGATTCGCGTTCATGATTAAACGTCCGATTAATGATGATGTGAGTGAAAATAATGAGATCTTATTTTTACTGGATTCTGGAGCTAGTGATCACGTTGTGAACCGCATAGATGTCTTCACAGAAATTATGGACCTTCAGGTTCCCATTAAACTTTCAATTGCAAAGATTGACGAGTCAATCACCGCCACCAAACGAGGAACTATCAAAGTCCAGACCAACCTTGGGGTACATGGAACCCTGGAGGACGTTTTATATGTACCAGAAGTGCCCTACAACCTGCTGTCAGTACGGCGAATACAGGAGGCAGGCATGACAGTCATTTTTGACAAAAATGGTGTACATGTAAATAAGGGCGGAAAAGATATTCTTACAGGTAAACTTTTGAATGACTTATATACTATATATTTTAAAATAGTAAATAACACTAAAAGTCACGCATTAACAACACATAAAAGAAATAGTTATAAAATATGGCACGAACGATTAGGGCATATTGGCAAAGCTAAATTTTCAGTTCTACAAAATAAAAGCATGATTGAAGATACAAATTCTATTCTGCAAATTAACCCTACAAATGATTTATGTGAAGCCTGTATAAAAGGCAAACAAAATTACCGTTCGCGAAAACTAAAAATAAGCCATATTAAGACCATTGTATGTCATCCATACGGATGTATGTGGACCTATATCTCCTCCTGATATTAGTAGGTAACCGAAATTATTTTGTTGTATTTATCGCTGGATGCACCCTATATACCACCACATATTTGCTTACTTATAAGTCCGAAATATTTAATGCTCTTAAAGACTTTGTAGCCTCACACACCTGACCAAAACGGAGTAGCCGAACAAATGATGCGCACAGTAACAGAAAGAGCTCGTTCAATGATCATAGGTGCAGACTTGAATAAACGCTTTTGGGATGAGGTTGTAATTACGGCAACTTACCTTATCAATTCAACACCAACTAAAGCTTTAAAGTTAGATAAAACCCCTTACGAAATGTGGCATAATCGCAAACCACATATTCATCATTTAAGGGTTTTTGGCTCTACTGTATATATCCATAGCGAAACTAGAAAAACCAAATTGGACTCAAACTCAATCAAAGGAATTATAATAGGCTACGAACCAAATGGTTATAAGATTTGGTATACAGAAGCCGAAAAGTTTATAGGAGCACGTGACGTCATTTTTGACGAAAAAAATTTTCAAAATTCTAGACCGACCGAGCCAATAAAATGTGAGAATTCACAACAACTCACAATAAACTTACCAAAATTTGATTCAATAAAATCAAATGAAATATTAAAATCTGATACTACAAAGTCAGATAAGGCAAACAAATCTGAAACACCAAATTTAGGCAAAATACAAACCATAACATCAAATGTTATTAATTACTTTTTTTATTTTTTTTATCATGCTTTTCCTCTTCATCTTTTTCTTCTTCATTATCAGAAGAGTCATCCTCTGAACTTTCCATCCACTCATCCATATCAGAAATTTTCAGATCTACAATTTATTTCTCAATATATTTGATACATATACATTAAGGTAGTCCTCAATATAACCATTTTTGAATAATAAGGCTCCCAAGGGCTTAAATATCTCTAAACATACAGGATTTATTGAAATAGCGGTAAGCTTTAGAGGATTTCAACTACATTCAATTGGGAATCGCAAGTACAGCAGCGAGATTAAAAGGCAAAAAAAGTTTCATAACAAATTAGAACCCAAAGCCGGTCTTGGGCGTAAATTAGCAGTGTAGGGCTGTATCTAAGAATTGAGATAAAAACTAAAAAGCTACATCGATGAAGAATATAAACAGTACCGGTGGTCAATCGATTGAAGTAAACATCAATAAAACTTACTACACATATGTTTAAACGTGAAGGTTTTAAAACGCGTGTTTTAAACACTGTAACAACACAATATAATCTAAATAAAAAATGTATTGAATTAGTGTTTGAAAGAGCGTTTTAAACTCATTTAAAAAAAACCCAACACATGTTAGACATTGTTTAAGCTCCTTTGGTTGGAGTAAAAATACTTTTTGGTTATAGATATGAAATATGGAAAATATCTCACAGGGTTGGCATGCTTAGAACAGTACTTCAAAACACGTATTTTAAACGCAACTAGTTAATGACAAGAACTTGCAAGATAAAAAACTTGTTTAAAACATCTGTTCAAAATAAATATACAAAACAATGTTTGAAACATATGAACAGATGTTTGGAACGTTTTGAATTTTATTTCACAAATTTAAAAAAAAATCTTTTTTCCAAACCTGATGTTAGCTGCCTAAACATGTAGAAGAAAAATTGGAGGCAATTGTCATATTATTGAGGCAAATTTCCACAGCACCATTGAGGTACTGATAAGACGCGTTAAATTTTTTGTACACATACCTACCCAGAGGATTATAAAAGGAACGTAGTAGTAACATTACCTACAAAGAGGGGCGCGGATAGGTGCGAGACATTTAAAACAATTAGTTTAACTTTCCATGTGTCAAAAATCATAATTAGAATTGTACACAGGAGGACGAAAAAAAGGGCGGAAGAACTATTAGGGGAAGATCAATTTGGGTTTAGAAGAAATAGAGGAACGCGGGAGGCCATTCTAGCTTTACGGGTAACGGTAGAGAAAACGATAGAAAAATGAAAGAGTGCGTACATAGGATTTGTAGATTTAGAACAAGCTTTTGACAATGTTAAATGGAACAAGATGTTAAATATACTTAAAAATGTAGGGATGAGTTACAAAGATAGAAAAGTGACACTTAATTTATATAAACAGCAACAGGCAGTTATAGAGCTAGGGCTGCAACGTAGAGAAGTAAATATTAGGAAGGGAATCCGACAGGGATGTACACTGCCACCGCTACTTTTTAATATATACATCGAAGACACGATCAACATCATTAAAGACAGTACAACTATAGGGATAGATATACAGGGGCAAAAGATCAGTATGCTTAAATTTGCATATGATATAGCAGTATTAGCATCTAGCAAAGAGGACATAGAGATAGCTTTAAATAAAGTGGATGCGGTACTGACAGATCAGTATTGTATGAAAATAAATAAAAGTAAAACTCAAATACTGGTACGCAAGGGAAGAAAAAGTAGGGAAAGAGCGAATATAAAGATAGGAGACGAAAAATTAGAAGAAAAGTCAAGACGGAAGGAGTAGTAGAGATATAAAGCAGAGAATAGCGCAAGGTCGTGTCGCCTTTAATAAAAGAAATCACTTCTATGCTTGCGAACAGTTAATTTAGAAATTCGAAAACGGTTGTTCAAGGTGTATGTTTGCAGCGCGGCGTTGTACGGGTGCGAAACATGGGCAGTGGGCAACAGAAAGAAAAGATTAGAAGCTTTCGAAATGTGGTGTTATAGGCGAATGATGTAGATACCGTAGACAGAAAAGGTTAGAAATGAAGAAATTCTTACAGGTAAGCCCACGAATGACTTATATACTATATATTTTAAAATAGTAAATAACATTAAAAGTCACGTATTAACAACACATAAAAGAAATAGTTATAAAATATGGCACGAACGATTAGGGCATATTGGCAAAGCTAAATTTTCAGTTCTACAAAATAAAAGCATGATTGAAGATACACATTCTATTTTGCAAATTAACCCTACAAACGATTTATGTGAAGCCTGTGTAAAAGGCAAACAAACAAAATTGCCGTTCGCGAAATCTAAAAATAAAAGCCATATTAAAAGACCATTGTATGTCATCCATACGGATGTATGTGGACCTATATCTCCTCCTGATATTAGTAACCGAAATTATTTTGTTGTATTTATCGATGATTTTACCCACTATACCACCACATATTTGCTTACTTATAAGTCCGAAGTATTTAATGCTTTTAAAGACTTTGTAGCAAAAAGTGAGGCTAAATTCAATTCAAAACTAGTGTATCTCTATTGTGACAATGGTGGAGAATACCTATCAAATGATTTTAAATCTTATTGTGTACAAAAAGGTATAACCTACCATCTAACCGTACCTCACACACCTGACCAAAACGGAGTAGCCGAACGAATGATGCGCACAATAACAGAAAGAGCTCGTTCAATGATCATAGGTGCAGACTTGAATAAACGTTTTTGGGGTGAGGCTGTAATTACGGCAACTTACCTTATCAATTTAACACCAACTAAAGCTTTAAAGTTGGATAAAACCCCTTACGAAATGTGGCATAATCGCAAACCGCATATTCATCATTTAAGGGTTTTTGGCTCTACTGTATATATCCATAGCAAAACTAGAAAAACCAAATTTGATTCAAACTCATTCAAAGGAATTCTAGTAGGCTATGAACCAAATGGTTATAAGATTTGGGATATAGAAGCCGAAAAGTTTATAGTCGCACGTGACGTTATTTTTGACGAAACAAATTTTCAAAATTCTAGACCGAACGAGCCAATAAAATGTGAGAATTCTCAACAACTCACAATAAACTTACCAAAATTTGATNCATAAAAGAAATAGTTATAAAATATGGCACGAACGATTAGGGCATATTGGCAAAGCTAAATTTTCAGTTCTACAAAATAAAAGCATGATTGAAGATACAAATTCTATTCTGCAAATTAACCCTACAAATGATTTATGTGAAGCCTGTATAAAAGGCAAACAAAATTACCGTTCGCGAAAACTAAAAATAAGCCATATTAAGACCATTGTATGTCATCCATACGGATGTATGTGGACCTATATCTCCTCCTGATATTAGTAGGTAACCGAAATTATTTTGTTGTATTTATCGCTGGATGCACCCTATATACCACCACATATTTGCTTACTTATAAGTCCGAAATATTTAATGCTCTTAAAGACTTTGTAGCCTCACACACCTGACCAAAACGGAGTAGCCGAACAAATGATGCGCACAGTAACAGAAAGAGCTCGTTCAATGATCATAGGTGCAGACTTGAATAAACGCTTTTGGGATGAGGTTGTAATTACGGCAACTTACCTTATCAATTCAACACCAACTAAAGCTTTAAAGTTAGATAAAACCCCTTACGAAATGTGGCATAATCGCAAACCACATATTCATCATTTAAGGGTTTTTGGCTCTACTGTATATATCCATAGCGAAACTAGAAAAACCAAATTGGACTCAAACTCAATCAAAGGAATTATAATAGGCTACGAACCAAATGGTTATAAGATTTGGTATACAGAAGCCGAAAAGTTTATAGGAGCACGTGACGTCATTTTTGACGAAAAAAATTTTCAAAATTCTAGACCGACCGAGCCAATAAAATGTGAGAATTCACAACAACTCACAATAAACTTACCAAAATTTGATTCAATAAAATCAAATGAAATATTAAAATCTGATACTACAAAGTCAGATAAGGCAAACAAATCTGAAACACCAAATTTAGGCAAAATACAAACCATAACATCAAATTCTAAAATTAAATCAAATAATATGTACTACAAATAATAAGTCAAAAATTCAAAGTACTTTTTCCAGTTTAAGAAGAAGTGACATACTTAAAAATGGTCCTATCAATTATAATGAGAATGTTGCGGATAGTTATCTGTTATGTGCGCAAACATTGTCACGGAACATTCTTAAATCCTATGATGAAATCGCCGAAAAAGATGATAAAGTGCAGTGGGAGCAAGCCATTAAGGAAGAGATAAACTCTCTTTTAATTAATAAAACATGGTCGTTTGTACCAAAACCTACAGATAAAAACATTATCGATCGTAAGTGGGTATTCACTTTAAAGAATGATAATGACCATGTAGCGAGCACGAGTGTGCGTGAACGGCTTATCGATTCGCCGACTAGCCGGGGGGGGGGGGTTTCTTCATGTGCGCCGTATTTGTAAATGTGTGTCGTACCTGCGTTCTGGGAAAGCAGTTAAACAGTTCAAAGAAAAAAAAAACTATCGGGACGTTTCCAGAAGGTTCCAGAAAGTAAACAAAAGAGTATTTAAAGGAAGAGATGAGAAAGGAGAAATAAATTGACTGTTGAGAAATGAATCCAGAAATAAATTCACAATGACAGCAGTGAAATAAATAGCGCAGTGAATAGTGATACATCAACAGTGGTGTAAATAAATAGAATAATTCATAACCTAAGTTTAGTAATAATAATTTAGTAGTGTTTTTAAGTTCTTTAATAATTAGTATAAATAAATGGTTTTTGTCGTTATCAGTCTTAGAAGTTAATTTTGTTAAACCCACGAACATTACAACTGGTGTCAGGTGTGGGGTTGAGTAAAAGACATTACAATGACAAAGAAGTTGTACGAATTAAAAGTAGCCGAGTTAAGAAGAGAATTGGAAGAACGCGATGAAACGACAAGCGGTAACAAAGCGGAACTTCAGTGGCGGCTCGCGGAGGCGTTGAAAAAGGATGACCATGATCCTGAAACGTTCCTTTTTGAAGACGAATTGTCGCAAACAATGAAAAGTTTGGAAAGCAAATTAGAAGAAAACAGTAAAAGTTTGGAAAATAAATT